AGTTTTAATTTTAAAGACACACATAAATATATACGTTCACAGCAAGTGGTGTAAAAGTTGTTTTTAGGGGAGGGGGTGTCTTTTAATAGCGATTTACTGAGATAAGATTTCCACACAGACGTGAGACATCAACTTTAATTAGGAGCGAAGTACACCGGCAGAAATATAACCTTTTCGGTTTCCTTCCAAGTGTCAGTTTATCATCCTTTTTTAAAATTCTGATGTTGATATAATCCTGAAAAATGCACAGAAATATAACCTTTTTTATTTTCAATAAGCGTCACTTTATCGTTCTTTTTTTTTTATTCTGACGTTGATATAATCCTGACAACCATACAGAAATATAACCTTTTTATTTTCAATAATAGTCAATTTATCGTTCTTTTTTATTCTGACGCTGATATAATCCTGACAACAACTGCACAAAAATATTATAACCTTTTTTGTTTGTTCAATAAGTGTCAATTAATCGTTCTTTTTAGAATTCTGAAAGTGATATAATCCTGAACATAAGTATATAATATTATTGTACATGTGAACTAAAAAAACAAACAAAAAAACAAACTTTTTTTTTCGTCTTATTTTCTATCACAGTAGCACGTCTGCGATTAATACGCATTCTTGACGGAGTCAGGTTTCATCAGTGCAGTAAAAAATGAAAGGAACCTGAAAGTGTTGGGGAGTGAGCGCCCGCTCAATACACGTGTGAGTGTTACTTGTCGGGAATTCCGCGGATGACAAGGAAAATGACGCTTCAACAAAAGGTACTCACGGCTCTAGACAGGTGGTGAGGGGAGTGGCCTGAAGAAAGAAACACTCTTTAAAAAAACAAACATTTTACGTCAAACCTGAACCATAGACCTGGGGTGGAAGTGCTAGAGTGTCTTAGTTTCAGTTTCAGCAACCCTCCAAAAAAACTCGCGGTCCCCGCGTCAGCAACGAGAGGAATCAGAATCTGATTTTCAGTTTCAAGGAAATTCGGCCCGCAGAAGGAAGTGACGCAATCATGGGCAGGAGGAAAGTCATCAGATCCACTTTGGAAGTGGCACTGGAGGAGGTAGGGACGTGTGGTGTTTGCGGTCGTGGTGGATTTGTGGTAGAACCTAGACAGACAGACAGACAGACAGACAGACAGACAGACAGACAGACAGACAGACAGACAGACAGACAGACAGACAGACAGACAGACAGATTTTTACT